GCTCAGGGTGCCTGAGTGAACCAGTCACTGAAGGTTAGTATGCAGAAACAGCAGGTAATCAGGAAAGCTAATAAAATATTAGGTTTTATTGCGAAGGGGAATTGAATGCAAGAGTAGAGTGGTTATGTTTCAGTTATAAGGGCATTGGTAAGGCTGCAGCTGGAGTACTGTGGACAGTAGTGGTCACCGTAAATACCAAAGGATATAAATGCATTGGAAGCAGTTCAGAGAAGGTTTACTTGACTAATACCTGGAATGAGCAGATTGCCTTATGAGGAAAAGCTAGACAGGCTAGTCCTGTATGCTCTGGAGTTTAGAGGAGTCGAAGGTGACTTAATTTAAACATGCAAGATCCTGAGGGAATTCAGTGAGTGGATGTGGAAAGGATGTTTCCCCTTGTGTGAGAATCTAGAACTAGGGGGTCATAGTTTAAAAATAAGAGTTCACCAATTTACAACAGAGATGAGGAAAGAAAAAATTCTCTCAAAAGGTTGAGAATCTTTGGAATTCCTCTCCTCAAAAAGCAGTGGATGCAGAATCTTTGAATATTTTTAAGGCAGAGGTAGATAAATTCTTGATTACCAGGGCGATGAAAGATTATTGAGGATATTTAGGAATGTAGAGTTGAGGTTGAAATCAGACCTTCCTTGATCTTATTGAATGTTGGAGCAGGCTCAAAAGGCCAAGTGGCCTTGTTCATATGTTTGTAGGGTGAGCCTCCATTGTGCCCTCTAGCTCTAGTGTTGTCCTCTAAATCTTCCAGGCCAGCAGGGTTTGCTACAAAGCAGGCTCCCTCTACTCTAGCTGCAGCATCTAGACATGGAGGACAAGGAAGAATAAATGCACTGTTGGCACACAGGTGGCACAAGTGACACATTACTGTAAATAAACATTCACATCTGGAAATATATATATATAAATTTTCAATCATCACCCATCTATTCGACAGTCATTTTAGCTCTAGGTCCTGGTCATGCGGCTACCATGTCAGGTTTAAGCAGCATCTCTGTACATCCCAAAGATAGAAGTTATATTGATGGGTCAGATTTCAGTCATCCTTCAATCCTTTATGGTCAAGGATATAGCCAGGGCTTAGCACTATAAGGAGGAGATCACTGAGGCCAATGGTAATGTGAATGCCATGCAGTTCAATCTTGCGTCCACTCATGTTTTACACTTACGGCCACCTTGTGTGTTTGAGTATGTGATTGAGTGTGTACTTCTTTGGAGCTAAAGATTCATTTTAGCCATGTGCTTAACAAAGGAATGTACACACATCCAAGGATGGGTAAAATCCAAAACTGAACTGCCAACTGGATTTGGTTACACACTGACACTGTCCAGACCAAATAAAGGAAACTTATTCCACTCACTGAGAATACATTGGCAGCCATCGCTTTTCCTTTTTGTCTAATTGAGGTTTGGTTAAACATGGCATGCTATCTGGGTCACACTACTCTGAATGAATTTCAGGCTCCATTTGACAGTCAAGGCTCCCACAGTCCTCATGTACCCTTTTGTACTGTTCCTGTCAACTCCATCAGATTTCAGGCTCCACACATTCCCATCCAACATTTTTTAGTTACTGGTCAATATCCCCAATATTCTCCTCAGCCTTTGGTTTCCCCCATTGTCATACCCACCATCACTATCCACTTTCAGCCCATTGACTTGCGAATACAACTCAGCCTTAGCATCCTATACCATATCATATCGCACCCTTTTCACTGTTAGCCCCTCTCGGTGTCCAGCCTAAAGCAACCCATCCCCAGACTTGAGTTTACCACCTTCCCCTATACAGTGTGGACCACCTCCTGCTAAACCCCTTGGTGTTTATTACCCAAATTCAGGACAGTGACTGTGGCACATCCTCCTAACTGACTTGTGAGGTATCCCTAACTGATCATGGCCCAGCTCCTGGACTAACATCTCCACAATTCTCTGACTGACTTACATGTGATCTGCAGGCAGGTTGGATTTAACCTGCAGAACTGACATGCCTTAAACCCTAGACTACAAAATCATGGATCCCCAAACTCTGGTCACACAGAAACTTAACTTAGCCAACCTAGACTGTACGATGCTCTTGACTGAGTGCTGTGCCACCCCATGATTAATCATACTCCCCTTCACTCCACTAAGGACAGTTCTCTTTTGAAATTCATGCTTGGTTATTTCATGGTGGATTTGTTGCAAAAGCTGCTGCCAAATTCTATAGATGTGACATTGCTGTAGCATGGTTCCAAACAGCAACATGTCCACCCCTTTGACTGTTCAGTGCTGATAAACATGACAAACTGCCTATCTTTGTCTTTGCTAAAAGATAAGGCAAGCCAGAAGTGCTGTGAGCTTCCAACAAGCACAATGTGAATGAGCACTAAGAAAGTCAGTTAAAGCCATGAAATGCATCCTGTGCAGATCATGGAATCACAGAATTGTTATGGCACAGGTGGCCATTGGTATCCAACCCAATCATGATTTTAATAACCTCAATCAAATCTCCTCTCAGCCTTTTTGTTTTCAAGGAGAGTAGTCCCAACTTGTTTAATCTATTCTCATAACTAAGTTTCCCATTTCTGGAACAATTCTTGTACATCACTTCTGCACTCTTTCAAATGCATTCATTTCTTTGCTTCATTGTGGCACCCATAACTCAGACTATACTCCAGTGTCTTGTACAAGTTCAACATCACTTCCCTGCTCCTGTACTCTGTGCCTCTATTAATAAATCAAATGTGACCTCCAGCTCTCTTGCCACCTTCAATCATTTCAATACATATACACCCAGCTGTACTCCAAAACCCCCTCTATAAAATAAGGGGTACAATTCTAGTGTCTTCCAAGTGCATCACTTCACACTTCTCTCCATTCAACCTCATCTGCTGCTTCTCTGCCTAATCCACCAACTTGTCAATGTCCTTTTAGACTTCCACACAGTCCTCACAGTTTACAATTCTTCCAAGTTTGGTGATATCTGGAAACTTTAAAATTGTCACCTGCACACCAAGATCCAGATCACTAAATATACAAACATATATGTGTATAATAAAACCAAGTGTCCGAATACTAACCACTGAAAACTCCACCACAAACCTTCCTCCAGCTTGAAAAATATCCATTGATCATTACTGTTTCCTATCACTGGGCCAATTTTGTATCAACATAGCTACTGCCCCTTTTATACTATAATTTTCCTCACAAATCTGTTGTGTGGCACTTAATCTCATGCATTTTATTTCGAGAAGCCATTTGATAAGTGTGTTTCCCTGAATGTCGAAGACTGTGGCTGGAACATGGCAATATAAGGTGTACAGGAGCTCCAATGTGCTGGAAGATATTGAGTTATTATGAGATCAGCCATGACGATATGGTGAGACTGGTATTTTGCTGATGTGAATGAAGGGTAAAATTGGTCATTATACGTGGAGCGTGTCAAGAGATGTTGATGAATGGACCAAGATAAAAGCTCAGAGAAGTTAGTGGTCAGCTGCTTTTGACGGCTTTGACTTTCAAGACTGGATTTGGCACCATCTACTGTCTCAACAGAGTATGGAAGAATTGTAAACTGCATATAAGAAAGGCAAGCTTAGCAAATCAGATGCAAATGCATAGAAATATGGTACTTGCTGCTTATTAGCAAGATTTTTGTCTAAATATTTAAGTCTTAAAAGAGAAATAGGAGTTTATACTGTAGGAATTAACTATGTATTTATGAAAATACAGTAAAATGTGTACAAGTCACCATAATCTGGTACCATTTTAATCACAAATTCTATAAAGAAATAAATTATACAATCTAAGGTTTTGGAGTATATTATACAATTGTATATTATACAAATTATACAATGTTAGGACAAATTTAATTTTTTTGTTCCATCCACAGCTTCTTGATTTTCTAAGTTGCTATGGGATACTGTCACTCTCAACAGCTGCCAAAGCTGTCCCTGAGTCTGCAACACTGAGGAGGAAGCACAACAAAGCAGCCCCTACCGCCACCGACCGGACTCAGAATGCCATCTCTGCCATTCACTCTGCCAACTTTGCAGATGCTGCCAAAACATGAGAGGAAAAGCATAGAACCGAATTCATCAACACCAGAACAGTTGCTCAAGCTGCGATCACCATGCCTCGAGGAATGAACTGAATCTGCTGTCAACAGCTCCCTGCAACCTCTCTCTGCCATCGCAGCCACAGAAGGAAGGTTAATTTGATTCAAAAGTTAAATGAAGAACAAAAAAGGATAAAGTCGGTCATGTGAGAGGGAGCATACAGGCCCGGCAGCCTGACCACTTCCTATCTTGCCTCCTCCGCCATTTTGTAATATAATTATTGTAATATATTTCTTCAAATCTGACATGCAAATTTTCTTTCATTTTTTTGCCATATTCTCCCACTATTCTCGCCAAATACTCTCAGTCACTCAAAGACTGTAAAAATCATGTTTTTTTTTAAATATACAGTTCCCATAGCAATTAAAATCTAAAGAAATTGAGATGTCACACTAAGGCTAACTATGCTGTTAAAAACCTGCTTATATGGGGGGTAGCAAATCCAAACTTTATTAGACAGGCTAAGTATATAAAATGAAAGCACAAAGTTTTGGCATTGCTCAATATATTTCAACGGTGCGATTATCCAGATAAGTGCAGCTTCTGGGAAGAACAAATACATTTGGACAACTGAATGCATGATTAAAAGTGGATAATAATCTCTGGTAAAGTGCTGTTCGCCCACTATTATTTCAAACTCAAAATCTCAGACATTGCCTCTTTTGTCTGTACACTAATTCTGCCTCTGAATGTCTTTGATAATTTCATTACTCTTATTTCAGAGAAATAACAAACTTGAGAAAGATTGTCTTTAGAGTGAAAAATGTCAGCATGGTGGTCTAAGCTTTCACTGATTGATGCACAAAGATTAATGAGATCCAATCTGGTGGTTCTAATGACATAAACTGAATCACCTAAGTTGTTACAAAATAATTCAATATTAACAGAAACTAAGTGAAACATAATCATACAATGCTTTTATTTTTATGTTTTAAGCATTTAAAGCAAATTATGAGAATGTCCATGTGGATTACAAGCATGAAACATACAACATAGCATTTTGCAAAATTTGACACATTAACCTGTCACCTCAATACAGCAAATCGGAGGACAATGAAAGCACCATTAATCAAATTTCAATTATCTATTTTTCCCAATTACAGATCCCACCACTTCAAATATGCAAGTCTAAATTGGAGTTATTTAAATCAGAATTGCTTGCATCAGCCAAAACACAATGCTATCCTTTTCCATTAGCAACAGTTTCACAGCTTTTCATAATAACATCTTGGATACTCCCTTTCAAACAGAACCAACTGTGGTTAGTTCACATTTCATTACGGTGCACTGAATGTAACCGAAGTCTTACTCTGACAGACTTCTTTTCCCTTAAACTTCAATTGTTTGTACACATTTTAAAATAGTATCCCCAAAGATACCTCCAGATGCTTCCAAATTTCTCTCTCATTCTTTTCCATTTATTCTATGTACCGCATTGATGGCTCTGGCCTTCGACCTAGCAAAATAGTAAAGACTAAGAAAGCTGACTTACTCTTGAAAAGCAACACTGAAATTTTGAGGATTCTCCTTGTGGGAGTCTTTAAAACTGTGCAATACAAATTCTGCTCTGTAGCCACTCAAGGCCAACTAACTGGAATTGAAATGATTTTTAATTTTATCAAAGCTATCATGCCAAACTAAGCATCTGGCAGAAACGGTAACTCGCATTTGCACATAAAATGCCTGCTGTAAAAGGTTTGGACTAAATTACCAAAATTTTTAATGTGACAATGCTCCTGTGAAACAGTGCTAACACAGAGCCTGTGAATGCTTCATTTGTTATTTGAGTTGTATATATCTTCATTCCCATACCTAATGAATTACTATACTAGAATATGAGCGAAATTCTGGAACGTCCAGTTATCCAACAGGCAGGTGGGTTACCTCCATTGTAATGATCATGATGTTTCACTGTAGGTTTGTTATTTTTACATAAATTCTAAACAAGCCTATAACAATAGTAATTAGCACGAGTACTAAGCCAACTTTTAAAATTTCACGTATGATCCAGTACATTTATTAATGTTGTCATATCATGGATATTTTTACTGTAATTTATCACCAAGACAAACACAAGTGCAATCAATGAAAAAACTTTGCATTGAAATTAAGTCCAGTAACAATACAAAGTATACTTAATAAATTTGATATCATGTAATTGGCTTTTAAAAGATTATTTAAAAACTTCCTAAACAAAATTTTCAATCATAATTGATCTTATTCCATTTAATGATTTCAAATATAATGCAAGATCTCAACTTTTCAAACACCCCGGTATTCAATTACAAGAGTCAGCTACATCACGCTTTAGTTGCATGTATTTCAGTTCATTCACAGCTTTAACTAAATTTCGTACAGCTGTTCTTTTTACACCCTCTTCATTGTTAGAAATAACTAGGAATCTCACACAATTGTGCCTTTTCATTATCAGTTATAATGTTTTAAAGAAGGAATTCTTCCCAGCGGTGGAACACTGAAGAAACGTATAGAGAAGGTTGAACGCCTACACATCCATCCCAGGGGGAAGATTAATCTGAAAATTGTAAAGCATCCAACTGTTTCAGCGATGTGTTGAACTGTTATTCATATCAACCAAAATTTCTAAACTATTGTCTCTCACTTCTATGTAAAATATTTCACAACTTGTGAAATGGTTTCCATGAAAATTAAATCCCAATGTCACTGTATTTGTGGAACGGGAAAATTATTTTGAATAGATACAGTCTAACTAGGCAGTGAGGGGATGGGGCTAATCAATAAAGAACACAGTCTTTGAGATTGTTATTATCACTTGGCGGGGAGAGCAGGAACCCAGCAGCTACAGGAAAGGTGAACAAGGCCATTGTCAATGGCTGCTTCTGAAGACTTCTTCACAGGATCTGCCACATATCACAAGCATGCATCTTCACTTGGATATCCTTAAACAGCACTGGATGGGGTACTTAAGCGTCTACCTATGTAGATTCTAAAAATAAAGATAAATTGATAATAGAATTAGATGCATTCTGGGTAATTACAGCACTAGCCATGAGCAGTAATGATTACAACCGAATACCTTGTGGCTAATATAGAATGTGGAGAACATGTTTTGAGAAATTGACAAATAGTTAACTGTTTTTTAGTTCTTAGATTTGAACATTGGTTATTATAAATGTATAATTAAAAAAATGAATTTGGAAAATTGCTTCCTGGACAGGACCGATTACATTTTTGTAGCAGAAAGAGATAAAATGGTAGACTTTTGGCACTGGTTCTTTGATCTCCACTGTAAATATGATTATAATTCTGAAGAATGGGCTCCCAGAGATCTGTTAAGGGACATAGGTGGGTTGCATAAGCCCTTCCCAACAGGCCGATAGAACAAAAAAAAATATCGAGGTTGATCACAGCAGGACACATAGCTTCACTGACAAACCGGTTTTTTTCAATTACAATTTTATTACTGAGTACCAAAGTAAACTTGGAATTTGACAGTAGAAAACATTTAGATCACTGCAGTGTGTAGATCTTGATGCAACTCTACAAACTCTAACAAGCAATGATCAGATTGAATGAATACTTACCCCAAACCAATGGCTAACATGTGGGAGATAAGCAGGGAAGGTAGGAAGACTTTCAGAAATTCAGCTGAGAAAATGCCACCTTTTTTCATGACTCCAGTGTTCCTCATACTCAGCGTGGCAGACCGCTTTGGATGTTTGAACTGGAATTCCCTATTTCAGAACACATATCTTAGTTGGTGGTACAGTGTCAACAATATGACGGTGACCAAAATGACGTACGTTATAACAAAAATTAAGGCTTTTGGACCATTAGAATGCTGGATTTTCTTCATATGGAAGATCAAACGTAATTGCACTTTCCTACCTGTGCCAACTCACTATTTGAAGCAATTATCTGCTTTAAAATAATTTATGTAGCTTACTTCATAGCTTCTGGCAGAGCCACGATCTGTGTAAAGATTTTTAATCAGATGTGCCTCAAAGCTTTTTGTGGCTATATCTTAAATTTATGTCCTATCATTACCATCTTAACAACAGAAATAATGACCTATTATTGGTCTCACCAGAATGCTTTAAAATTCTGGACATCTCTATCAGATAGGAGTGTTAACTCCCCAGGACTGTCCTAATTTTGCTGACCCTACATCTGTGGATCATGTTATTAAAAGCAATTACATGACGTATAGAAAAAGATTAATAATGGATTATAAGCCAACTGTGTACTTACTTTGGGGGTATATTTTCTGGCCTGCTTGACCAATCCCAGATCCAATCAGCATTTTTCTTCATTATATTTTCTACTTCTCTCTTTCTCTCGAGATAATCTTCTTCAGACTGAATGAAGAGATAATGAAAATAGAATTGGATGTAAAAACTACAATCGTCACACTTGCGAAAATTCATTACATCAGGCCACTTGATTATAGAAACAAATGAATAACTTTTGAAAAAAGACAATTACTTCATGCTGAGGTCTTCGAACATGGAGTCAAAATTCTACAGAAGCTACAAGTATCTTCTAATTAACCCAAAGAACTTACAAGCAACTCCAATCACCTGGATTCCCCTGTTTTGTCTACTTCCCATATGGGGTACTTCAGCAGAACAGATTTTCATAATCAACTCCATCTCAATAGCTAAATACTACACTGAGACTAACTGGTAGCAGTATAATTAACATTCACAAGCTTGAACAACGTCCAGAAATTAATGGTCTATGCAGGTATCATCCATATATTTATAATTCAAATAAGTGATGATCCATCCATGAAGTGAAGAATGTTTAAAATCACAGTGCATGAATGCATTTCAATGTTAGGCTTGATAAATCAGGCAAAATCTATATAAAACCCAAAAAATAAACTGCCTCATTAGAAGTCATTTGTTATCAGTTTTTATTATCTACTAATCTTGACCCATGATGCAGCTGCTTCTCTGCTCTAAAGCTTGGGAGAAGAACCTTAGACAAGTGAGGTCTGTATCAAACAATGGTAATGTTTGCCAAAGTCAAATAAAATCTGCTAACACACTGTCATTTCGTGCATGAATATGCATGAAAAATGGCTTTCAAGGTATCCCAGCATGAAACAGATAAAAGTCATTTATTAACCCATCTATTTTAACCTCCTCATAAGGGGTTTAATTTAATGACTATGATGGTCACTGCACAATTGGGGAAAACCCTGCAATGACAATTTAGGGCTACTCTAATGCAATTTGCCTGACTATCAGGCAAATCACTGTTTGTTAATAGGCCTGTCTCTTTAAGGATGAAAGGCCTACCTCTATGAACTGCTGACTCTCTGAATCCACTTCCTTTGCACTGGGTGTGTATTTACCAAATGAACAAATGCCACCCTCCTCCTGCCTTAGTTCACGGCCCAAGAGTGAAAATGTATTCTACCTAAAGTAATTTGACACTAACTATTTTGAAACGTATAATTTCAAAAGTGTACCCAAAACTTAGTCATTACAATGGTTTCTTTCTAAACCATTCAGTCCATCTTGTTTGCACTGGCTCTCTAGATAAACAATTCATCTAGTCTCACATCCCCACCTTCTCCCAGTAGCCCTATGCATTCTCACTTTACAGGCATGCAGGCGCATACTTCTGTATAAATATTTCCTTTCATCTACCTCCTGATAGTAAATTATTTCATACTGAATTGACTGTTCTCCCAAATTTTTGACTGATTTATTTAATGCATCTAATTTCACCGTTCTAAAATCTTTTGAGTAAAGGAAAGTAAGGGTTATGCAAAATTTGAGTAGAATCAATATAGCACATGGGCAAGTGCTGACACTAAATATTTTTGCCTGATTAGCATCATTAGATCACTATTTTCTCAGCTCACCTTTAATTTTGACCCTTTTATTTTGCTGTGGCTACAATTAAAAGCACACTGAATAGCTAGTACACATTTGCAACACCTAGCAATATGTTAAATATTTTGCAAATATGTGGACTTTTTGTCAATGTTTTTCAGTATAAAATTCCAATGCTCAGAGTTAAAACAAAAACTGCTCAAGCAAACTTGTCACACTGTAATTATACCCTCCTATTATCGTAGGCATTGCCATCTCCTCATCTTCATCATGTATCTGCGATTTTGCAAATTAAATGCCTTTTAGCAGTACTGTCAGTTTACTTTTCTTATAACTACAGTTGACTCATTTTGTCATACTGATTTCCACTGTGAATGCGGGGTTGGTTTTCTAAGTTTATAACAGCATTGCTGAGTTATTACTGTGCCAACTATGACTGAAAAATAATCTTTTTAAAGGATTAAAAGATTAGTTTAAAAAGGAATCAAGTGTAGTCTGGAATTTTCTCCCTGGAAATAACACAAGGCAGAATGTTCTTTATAACCCTTTAAAGAATAAACAGCCTAAGTATATACAATATAATTACGTAGTTATGAAAGTTATCAGCCTTACTGGTTATGCCTGCTGTACTTCAGCATCTATTTGTGAACGGTGACCATTACTTGATCATTTGTGATCACTCTAAAAGTTCACAAACCGATTAAAATCTTATCAAAATTACCTTCAATGAACATGTTAATAATTCCATTACAGGTGCATGTGGCATGTGATTGATCAAATACTTCACTCATTTTTTCATACCTGAGAGCTGTTTTTCTCTCCATTGCTATGTGTGTCTATTTCAGAACTGCAGCGAGGCTGCTGAGGAGTCAATGAACGTGGAGGGCTATAGGGAATAAAAAGGAAAGAAATCAAAATTGCAAATTGTACCAAAAGTACCAGCTGTCCACTTTAATTCATGATTGCTGAAACAAATAATATTTTTCTCAATAACTCAAGAATGTCCGCTATTCACTGCTACTGCCTCGAGTTAGATTCTGTACCTACAGGAGAACTGACATGATTTTTGTTCGATTAATGTTAATGTAATGATACTTAGGTAGCTTTAATAAAGGCGAGGTATCATCTGTCAGACAACCACCTAGGAAACAAAGATGAAATCTTACCGTAGAGATGACACTTAATCGTGCTATACATTGGACAACCTATATAAATTGGGAGAGTCAGAAGTCACACAACAACAGGTTATAGGTTTAGCTGGGGTGGAATTTGTTAAATGTGTTTAGGAAAGATTGCTCAAGTATTATATAGAGGATCCTACTCGGGAAGGAAGGTTCGACCTACTTTTGGGAAATAGGACAGGACGGCTAACTGCAGTGACAATGGGGGGAGCACTTTGGGACTAGTGATCATAGTTCTATTAATTTTAAAATAGTTATGGAGAGGGACAAAACTCGGCCACAGGTTGAGGTTCTAAATTGGGCAAGGCGAATTTTGATGGAATTAGACTGGAGCTTGCAGGAGTTGACTGGAGTAGTTTGTTTGCAGGCAAAGGGACCTCTGGCAAGTTGGAGACCTTTAAAAGCATGATAGCTACAGTTTAAGGTCTATGTTCCTGTGAGGATGAAGGGCAAAGTTGGCAGGAGTAGGGAACCCTGGATGAAAAGAGATATTGAGGCTGTGACCACAAAAAAGGAGACATGACTCAGGTACAGGCAGCTGGGATTGAGGGAATCCCTGGAGGTATAGAGGGGGTACAGGAGTTTACTGAAGGAGGAAATCAGGATGAAAAAGGGGGCACGAAATCGCTTTGGCTGAGAAGATTAGGGTGAATTCAAGAGATTCTTTAAGTATATTAGAGGAAAAAGAATAACGAGAAAGAGAATAGGACCCCTCAAGGTCCAAAGTGAGCATGTATGTGTGGAACTGCAAGAGATGGGCGAGGTTCTCAATGAATATTTCTCCACGTTTACCGTGGAGAAAGACAAGACTACTTGGGAACTTGGTGAACTTAGTGGCAATATCTTGGGGACAGTCCATGTCACAGTAGAGGTGGTGTTGGAAGTGTTAGAATGTATGAAGCTGGATAAACCTCCTGGTCCCGATCAGATATATCCAAGAGACTAGAGAAGAAATTGCTGATATATTGGCATCGTTAGCCACGGAAGACTGGAAGGTAGCGAATGTTGTGCCCTTAATCAAGAAGGGCTGCAAAGAAAAACCTGGGAATTAGTGACCAGTAAGCCTAATATCTGTCGTAGGTAAGTTACTTGAGAAGATTCTGAGGGATGATATACAGGTAGTTGGAAAGACAGGGTTTGATTAGTAGTATTCAGCATGACTCTGTGTTGGGAGATCATGCCTCACAAATTTGTTGGAGTTCTTTGAAGAAGTGACCAAGAAGGTTGATGAGGGCAGGACGGTAGATGTAGTCTATGTGGATTTATGTAAGGCCTTTGATAAGGTTCCACATGGTAGGCTGCTCTGGAAGGTTAGATCGCATGGAATCCAGGGAGAGCTGGCAAATTGGATACACAATTGGCTTGACAGTAGGAAGCAGAGGGTAATACTGGAAGGATGCTTGTCTGACTGGAGGCCTGTGACTAGTGGTATGCCTCAGGGGTCAGCACTGGGCCCATTGCTGTTTGTTATCTATATCAATGATTTGGATGAGAACGTACAAGGCATGATTAGGAAGTTTGCAGATGACACTAAAAGAGGCGGTATTGTGGACAGTGAGGAAGGTTATCAGAAATTGCAGTAGAATCTTGATCAGCTGGGGAAGTACACCGAGAAATGGCAAATGGAGTGTCATCTAGGCAAGTGTAAGGTGTTGCATTTTGGAAAGTCAAATCAAGGTAGGAGTTTCATTACGAATGGTAGGGCCTTAAGGAGTGCAGTAGAACAGAGGGAGCTTGGAGTTCAGGTGCACAGTTCTTTGAAAGTGGAGTCATAGGAGACAGGGCAGCGAAGATGGCTTTTGGCACACTGGCTTTCGGCACACTGGCTTTCATCAGTCAGGGCACTGAGTATAGAAGTTAGGAAGTTATGTTGCAGTTGCACAGGACGTTGGTAAGGCCACACTTGGAGTATTTCAGTTTTGGTCACCTTGCTGTAGGAAAGAGAGCAGAAGAGATTTACAAGGATGTTGCCAGGACTCAAGGTACTGAATCATAGGGAGAGACTGGACCAGCCACATTTTTCTTTAGCACATAGGAGACTGAGGGGGGATCTTATAGAAGTGTATAAGATCATGAGAGGCATGGACAGGGTGAATGCACTCAGTCTTTTTCCCAGTGTTGGGGAATCAAGGTCTGGAGGGCATCAGTTTAAGAAGGGAAAGAATGGGAACCGGAGGGGCAACTTTTTTTAATAAAAACACAGTGTTTGGAATGTGCTGCGAACAGAAGTGTTTGATGTCAACAACATTTAAAAAGCATTTGGATGAATACACGGATACAAAAGGTTTAGAAGGATATGGGCCAAGTGCAGGGAAATGGGGTTAGGGTGGATGGACATTTTGGTCAGCATGGAACAGTTTGGGTTGAAGGGCCTGCCTCTGTGCTGTAGACTCAATGGCTCTCTATAACTCAGGCTGGAGTTTATTTTGCTAGTTAATACCTGAAACTCCTTTTCTTTGAAAGCCTTTTTTGCACACTTTGAACCAATCATAATGACTTAAGTCATACAAAATAGAAGATAATTACTTTGTGTTAATGTTTTAAAATTCTAAATACCACTTGTCATTGAATTTTCGCAAAGTTTACATTTTCACTTTAACCTTACAAGCTGGCACAAATGTCATCCCATTTAACAATTGGCTAGTTTACTGTATGATTAATACAGGCAATATCTGTATCATGAAGTACAAGCACAGATAAAACTTGCACACTTTAGAAGAATTTCAGTACAATCTATTATTTCATGAAAATCAGTTGTCCCTAATGTGCAATGTGACACTTTCATAGCTCAGAAACCATGTACACAGCAAGATTATTGCTACAATGTCACACAGTAAGATGATTTGATGGTATGTATTAAAACTCGCCCATTCAGTTCAGCTGGATAGCCCACTTCCTTATGGTTTCTGAACTTAAATTCTGAACCATTTTTATCCCTTTCCTCTTTCCAAAAGAACATGCAACAACCAATTCACAGGCATTGTCAGTACTGACGATAAGAAAACAGTGGCTGTGAAGCACGAGTAGTGTGAACCAACTAAGCCTGTTAAGTTGTTTTCCTTTAGCCTTAACAGTTAACAGGAAAGAAATTCCTTTGCATAGCACCGCAGTTCAGATTTCCCAGCAGTAGACAGCATTATAGGCCACGACAGGCACAGCCCATCCAGCACCTTTCAAATAATGTCAATGAGAAAAGCCACGTAGATAATGCCAGAATTGATGAAAGCGTGTAGTGTCTCTGAAAAGGGCAGGATGCTCATGAATTTCTCCCTTAATGCATGTTGTTTGCTTGCAAGGTCATGAAGAGCTCACTTCTCAGACTCGTGGCCTGAACAAAATAAGAGCAAAAAGTGGAGACTGAAAGGGCACCTACAATTTTCCATTTTTAACAATCAAGTAAGCGCTTAATCATCAACTCTGAAGCACTCAACACAAAGTAATTCAATTCAACCATAACTCTAATGTCAGTCCAGACTTGTACACCCAGTATGAACTATCTACTCAATCCATCCTTGAAACTGCTGAGAGGAATGAAGCTAACTATTTTGTGACGTATTTTACACTGAAAATAAATTAACGCCTTATTCAGTAGTTTTATCCCAGCAATTCCAGGGGAGTTTTATCCTAGAACTGATTTAAGTCCGGCTCTCAGAAGTAAAGGAAAAGTATATTAACCCATGCACCACTGAGTTAATAAAATGTCCAGCTTTTTAAACTGAGGTATGCAATCTTATGTAAAGAACAGAATATTCTCTTGCTGCCTTTTTCCATTCTTGTTCCAAGTTCCTTTGCAAAAAGTACTGGTAACTGCATGGTTGCAGTTTTCTTGTGTTAATGCCTACCATTCAAGTATGAAACAAAACATTTGTTGTGGAGTTAGAGATTAAGACGTGATTATGGTCTTGTCCGCTAAAACATACTAACTGGCAGCACTTCATCAACATTGGCTAGTTTGCCCGTTAAATTATAACGTGCTTCCTTACACAAGAACTGTAAGAATCACTACTATGCAGGAAATGTGGACAATGACCAAATAGTGTGTGGGGAACAATTTAAACATTTTCCCATATGGAAAATTTAGCAGACTCTCGGGTATGATGTTAGGCAAAAATCCCACAATTTACAAGTAATCAATAGTAAATGAACAGCAGATGGGTCATGGATATGAAAATTAAACAGCTCACTGAAACATCTTATTGGCAACAACAAAATTAAGGGTCCAGCAGTGTGGCCTCTGCATAGTGATACTGATGCAGTCACTGTTCAAGTTATTTGCAAACCCGTGTATGTGAGAACAGTTTCTCTGTTATGGCCCAACATCAGCTTTTATACCTAACTTATTGCTGTTCCTGAGGGACATCCAACAGCAATGTTATTGCTGGAATCTTGGTGGGGTTCATAACCTTTGCAGTATCCAATGTCTCCAATCGCTAGTGTCCAAGCGAATCAAACAACTACAGCTATAGAAAATTCTTTAAACTAATGGGGGTGGGAAGGTAGGAGGAGGAAATGGAAATGTAAGCTTACAAAGCTGGAGGATATAACTGAATCATACTGCATTTATTTGTAAAATGGTACCCAAAGTGGACAGGAAGGGACAGAATGTACAAACATAGAAAAACAACAGTAAACAGGGTTAAGAGGAACAAGATGGTTAAAAGACAAAATTAATGGCTCTTTAATTAAATGCACCTAGTATTTGGAACAAAATAAATGAACTAATGATACAAGTAGAGGTTAATGAATATGATCTTATAGCCATTACAGAGATATTTTTACAAGGAAACTAATAATTCAGGGGTATGCAACTTTTCAAAAGGATAGGCAGGAAGAAAAGGGTGGTGGGGCAGCTTTGTTCATATAGAACAGAAAATGTATAATAGCAAGAAATGATCTTAGATTGGGAGATGTACAATCCATATCAGTGGAGGTCAGAAAAAAAAGGGCAAGATACTGGGCGGAGTGGTCTTTACAGCCCTAATAGTGGTTATGCAGTGGTACAGTGAATAAATCAGGAGACAATGAGAACATGTAACAAAGGCACATTTAACATGGATGACTTTAATCTTCATATAGACTGGGGATAGGCAGAGGAAGCCACGAAGAAGAATTCAGAGTGTGTATATTTTGGACAGTGTTAGAACAATGTATAATGGATTGAATGGGGTTGGGGTCAGGTTATTTTGGATCTGGAGATGTATGAAGAGGGTGGTATAATAAATTATGTCACAGTAAAAGATCTCTTAGGGAAGTGTCCACAACATGATAGAATGTAGCATTGAGTTTGAAAGTGAGGAACTTAGATCAGAAACAACATTGCTAAGCTTAAATAAGGGTAAATACAAAGAATTGAAAGCACATTTGGCTAAAGTGGATTGGGAAAGGAATTTAGCAACAAAGACAGGCAAGGAACGATGCCAGACATTTAAGAAAATAGTTCACAGTTCACAAAGATATCCCCGTCTTAGAATCACTGGGATATGTCAACCATAGCTCTCCAGGAAAGTTAAGGATATCATCAAAAGAATAAACAACATGATAAAGATTAGTGATAAGCCAGAAAATTGGGAATCTTTAAAAAAAATCAGAAAACAACAAAGAAGATAATAAGGAGGGAAGAGATAAACTTTGAGGATAAACTTGCAAGTAATATCAAGATAGGGGTGTGACAAGAATTGTGCAAGTGTCAGAGTCTGCAGAATGATATAGATAGCTTACGCAAGCAAGGAAAAACTTGGCAGATAAAATATAATTTGGGAAAATAGGAAGTTATGCACTTTGGTAGAAATAATAGAGGAACTGAATATTATTTAAATGGCAGAAGACTGCAGTAACTTGCAGAGGGATATGGGAGCTCTTGTGCATCAATCAGAAAAATTGGAATACAAGTTTAGCAGGTAATAGGGAAGGCAAATGGCATTTCGGCATTTATTTCAAAAAGAATGACGTATAAAAATAGGAAAGTCTTGCTAAAAATACACAAGGCAGTACCACTCCATGGAATACCCCATTAAGATACATGCTAGATATAAGACCATTGATTGCTCTAGCTCTCGATGTAAACTTGTTACCACATTGCACGGAGAAGATATCTAAAGTTACGATGACTATTTTGTGAAAAGGCAAATTAGAAGCACGGGATCCCATCTTTGCTGTTTCAGATATAGTGCACTTTAGCACCAATTCTATTTCTGCATAACTGACAGAATATTCAATCTACAATCATAACTATTTAACAACATAAGCTAAATGTATTCATGATTTAGGTTTCTCACAAAATTACGTGTTGCATATACCTGTCACAGTGAGAACTTCCTCTGGAGCTGGTTCGGCCTGATTCATGTTGAGCATCTAGGAGTATTTTTTCCATTTCCCCATTGAGGATTGAAGTGGGTGCTGGAACCTGTTCCTGTGCTCCATTTTGTGTGCTGCTTCCATTGCTGCCATTGTTACTGTAGTGCAACTCTACCCAAGATCCTGAGTGGATTAAAAGTAAATTATTGTCAAATCCCTATATGAGTAGTCTGGGATTAAGTGACATCCCATAATATCCTGGCATTTGAGCTCTGTTGCTGGCAAGTTTCATTTTTACTCTTTACAAAGTCAACATTGTGCAAATATCCTGTTACATCCACGGTTGATGACATAGATAAAATGCAGGATTTAACAGGATTCCACTAACAGATCCACAATGGGGCTATGGGGAAGGGGAGATGTTAAAACAAAATTAGCAATTAACAGTTACAAAAAGCAGAGTTAACAACTAGTTCCCCCATTTCGGCTTACGTTTATCCCTTCTTCACTCCAATCTTGTCTGTGATTATTGTATCTCACTCAGAAATGCAGCTTTTTACTCTTGTTTATGAATCTAAGTTAGTATGACACCTTGGAACTGTAAATACATTTCTACTGTATTATAAAGGCACCTGCTTGTAGCCTGGGGGTCTGTGATATCTCTATGTTTAGATGATAAGCTGGTGACTCACTCTAACCTCCAGATCACTTTTACTTAAACAGTGGTTACAAACACGGGTCAGGCAAGATGATGCAGCAAATCATTATTTATTTTGTACTTTTGCATTACAGTTTATTTTTTGGTTACAAACTTGCTTATATAAAAGAATAGAATAAGCTGAGCTTAGTAAATGACACTGAAGTAAAACTGTCAAATTAATAATGTATTAAAAAAACCTGTACTCTCCTTTATTTAAAAAGGACCTTGCGCTACATTCATTATGTAAACTATCAATGCTGAACTGAAATTCTGTTTTTGGAAACTCTTCAAATTGATTTACTATCTAAAGATGAATTTTTATTCATAAAGTGTCCTGCTTTTTTATAAATCACAGAGCAGGAAAATAGCTTATCAACTTAAGTCAGAAACAAGAACCTGAATTTTATGGGCCCCTTCACACTGCAACGTCAGGCAGGGGTGTACTATTGAGCACCATGACAGTGGCACTGTGTCCGGCACCCGTTTGTTCCAACAGCTACTATTTCTACAATTAGGGAGGTGTCAGGCAACTCTTTGGAAAAATTGCTGTGCCTGGAAAGTCCGACATTGACTGCTCAGGCTGCCAGTAAAAGCTGGGAGGATTGGTTGAAGAGGAAGAGGAGAGCACTCATCACCCTCTGAAGGTTTCCCATACACCTTTGCCCTATCCACCTAGGCCCCACAGCTGGCTTCAAGATACCCCAGACTCACCTTGTTCTGGATTCCTGCCTCCTCCTCTTCAAGGGACCCACTGTAGCTTCAGCAATGGTCCCCACAGCAGATAGTCCTACTCTGACAAGGACACTACCGGCCAATCTCAGAGGTGGGGCTTCCTCCCATAAAGAAAGTTCCATATCAAGCCAGTTAAAGACCTGACAATCATAAAATGGCTTCAGGGTAAAAGCAAGAGGGCTTGCCTTGGCATAAAATTCAGCCCCAGCTGACTGAAGCTTTGCAATTCTGTAAATAATGGAAACAATCTGGAAAGAGTGAGAATTTCCTACTGATTAGAGAGCAAGCATAGGTTTGAAAAGGATAGGTCATGCCTGATGGAATTTTTTAAAAAGAGGCCACTTAAATATTGATATATGTTTCTTATACGGACAGGCAGAAGGTATTTGATGAAGTTCTTCATAAGACAGTTAGCTAATGCTGACATTTTTGAAACTGAAGTCAAATTATTACCTTGTTAGGAAATTGTCTGAGCAGCAGGAGGCAGAGTATGAATATTGAGCAGGTACCATAACTCAAAAGGATAGGATTAATAGTGTTTCACAGGTATCTGTATTGGGATCTCAACTGTATGTGATATTTGTTAATTACTCAGATGATGAGAGAGAAAGCCACACATTTAAAATTTGCCAATAACAATCTAAGTGGCGTCGTAGGTTGTGTAGATGGAAGTTTAAAATCAAGATAACATACTGAACGGCTAAATAAATGGACAAATAATTCCTAAAAAGTGGAGCCGCAGGTAGATAGGATAGTGCAAGCGGCATTTGGTATGCTTGCCTTTATTGGTCAGTGCATTTCATTTGGTGGTCTCGTTGCGGCTGTACAGGGCATTGAATAGGCCACTTTTGGAATATTGTGTGCAATTCTGGTCTCCTTGCTATAGGAAGGGAGTGGTGAAACTTGAAAGGGTTCAGAAAAGATTTACTAGGATGTTGCTAGGTTTGGAGGGTTTGAGCTATAGGGAGAAGCTGAATAGCTAGGGCTATTTTCCCTGGAGTGTCAGAGGCAAAGGGGTGACCTTATAGAAGTTTATAAAATCATCTCCGCGGTATTGGAGTCCAAAACTAGAGGGCAAGGTTTAAGATGAGAGGGAAAAGATTTAAAAAGGACCTAAAGGGCAAACTTTTCACGCAGAGGGTGGTGCATGTACGGAATGACCTGCCAGAAAAAGTGGTGGAGGCTGGTAAAAATTACAACATTTAAAAGGAATCTCAATGAGTACATGAATAGGAAAGGGTTTATAGGGATATGGGCCAACTGCTGTCAAATGTGACTAGATTTATTTAAGATATCTGGTTGGTTTGGATGAGTTGGAATGATGGGTCTCTTTCTGTGCTGTACACCTCTATGACTCCAATTGCAGTGCCAGAATGTGATACTGCCAAAGGTTTTCAGCGGCACACTGCCATTCTGAAAGTGGCAGTCCAGCGCCAACGAGGTTTTATTTTTCCACTTAAAAACTCTTTAACCTCTCTTCCAATGGCAATTTGAGATCAATGCTATTTACCTTATCAACTGTAAGTCCCACATACAGCATACAGCAGAAGCTATATTTGGTCTCAGCAGGTAACAGTTTTACTTGGCTTAATGGGAGTAAAATTATGCAATAGCCCCCACAATTCCAGAATCATATAACAAAAGATGGGCTGAAAAAGCATCCACTCTAACTGGTTAATTTCAGCAGCAACTTTAAAGCAACTCTTACCAATTTTTTATAGATGCACTACAGAAAGCATCCTTTCTGGATGCATCATAGTTTGGTAGGGCAACTGCTCTGCCCAAAACTGCAAGAAATTATAGACAGTTGGACTGGGCTGTGTGCACACCATGAAAACCAGTCTTCTTTCCAGAGTCTGTATATACTTTCCGCTGGCTCGGGGAAGTGGCAGACATAATCAAAGACCCCTCATCCATCGAGCAGAAGATACAAAAGTTTCAAAACACATTAACAGAAGATTCAAGAACAGCTTTTTCCTCAGACTTATAAACGGACCTCTCTTACTTTAGAGGTGATCTTCCTCTGCATCTTCTCCGGAGCTGTAACACTATATTCTACATTCTGTTCTATTACCCTGGTGTACTTATGTAAAGTATGATTTGTCTGGTTAGCACACAAAACAATTACTTTTCACTGTATCAGAGATAGTAGGAACTGCAGATGCTGGAAAATCTGAGATAACAAGGTGTAGAGCTGGATGAACACAGCAGGCCAAGCAGCATCATAGGAGCAGGAAGGCTGACGTTTTGGGTCTAGTCTTCTCTACTTTTCACTGTATCTCACTAAATGTGAGAATAATAAATCAAATCAGGAGGAAAGTAACCCAAAGGTCTACAATCCACCTTGAAGCAGAGTTTCTTATCATCTGTCCTTGAAATTCTTTCATGAAACTGTTCTAAATTAATGCAATATTATTTGAACAATTTTGCTGTATTTAAATGTGCAATTTATTCTTAAAAACAGGCTACTCTCTGAAGTACAGGCAGGAGGTAATACAATCTAGGTAATACAATTATCTCAGACTTGACCTCTGCATAAATATAACCCTCACAAAATGTGTCATGACCTCGCTATGTAAATCATATAACTTACAATAATAGTGGTTCAAAATGGACTGAATAAAATGCTACTCTACTGTGCAAACATACATGCTCCACATAGTAAGCCAAATACCTGACAACTTTATGCTGGAAGCTAATATACTATCAATAACCCTGTTAAATAATCAATTACCTGTTTCTCTGTACTACATGTCTAAATGCATTGAATAACAAAGATTTTGCATTTTAATAATAACACTTTCTCAGGTCTATATTTTTGAACTTTTAATTTGACAGTAATGACAATTGTGCCATGATTTTCTATGAAATGTCTTTGTTGCCAGAATGACAAATGGGTGTTTAAAGTACGAATGATCAAATCTGGGAATCAAGAAGCCAAGCAATCAAATAAATACATCTTAGGTATGGGAGTATCACTTTTCCACTTTCTTGACAGTCTCAATCATCCTCTCCTATTTTGGCATACAGATTAGCTGGAGGCATTCTGATCTTAAGGAATAGCATTTATCAGTTTCACTAAGTATTGCACACTAGCAAAGCTTTTTTTTGCACATGTTCACTAATCGAGGGGGTACTGCAGGTTAGTGTAACCCCAACTGTAGGTTAATGTAAAGGAGAAGAGAAACTAATAGAGACGGAAGTACGAGACCAGTTAGAAAACAGATATGTAACACTGATATCTACCATTTGCAACAGTTTAAAAAGATTCATGCAAGTTAAATTTATCTAGAGCTTACTGAAGAGACTCAAGTTGAACCAAGTTGTTGACAGAAGTTACAGCAATCTAATACATGCAAACAAGAATATCAGCACAATTTATACTAAGTCAAGGTGGCATTGCTCTGTGATTCTATGCCACTGTGCCTTGCAGACAGTTAAGAAACTTGACTGGAATCAGGTGAAGCTTTTTATTTTTGATACACCTGAAAAGTTTTAACAGACACTGCACCAGTTCACTGAACTCAGCAACAATAGGCACAAACTGTTATAAAATCTCAGTAGATCTGGCAGCTGTGGACACAAATACAGTTAACATTACTCTGATAGAACAAGACATGCTTAAAAGAAGTTAGAAAACTCAACAACCCAATGCTCTGCAACAATGTTGCCGGAGATTTAATACATATTGAGGCAAGACACCTTGTTTTATTGCTCATGTGTGTAACTTTGAAGGCTATGAGTTAAATAT